GACGAAACCAGGTGCCTTAATGACAGTGCGTGTATTTTAAACCTCCTGTTTTCTAATGTTAATAGGGCCTAAGATAAGTACGGCTAGCCGTAGTAATAATAATAATAATAGATGCATTTGTATAGCGCATCCCTGCTCAGCAGCAGGCTCTATGCGCTTTACACTCTATATTATTACCCCAGCAGACCATAGAACTCTCCGAAACATTCTCAGCTTCCCGGGAAGCATACAGTGCAAGCAGCCGATTAAGCGCTCAAACACTAACAAACTGACAAGATCTTTCGCTGTCTATGCCAGGTACCCATTCCCACCTGGGTGAAGTGAAGAAAATTCGTGTAAAGTGCCTTTCCCAAGGACACAACGTCGGGCCCTTGACGGGATTCGAACCCACGACCTTACGGTTGCTAGTCTAACCACTAGGCCACCGACGCCACATACCGTACTTAATATTGATGGCTGAATTGTAAATGAAATTTTTTGTTTGCAATGCCTAAAGTATTTGTATTTCAGACAAAACCAAAAGGTGCCTTACTGACTTGCATGTATTTGAACCTGAATGATTACTAGATCTATTCTAGATCTAATTAGACCTGTGTACTTAACAGGCTTGAGTCGATAGGGCCAACCTAGATCAAAGTACGGCTAGACTGGCAGTCTAGTACAGCTAGCCACTTCGAAAAAAATAATGGTTTGACTTCAAGTTGAACTTCAAGCGCAGACACGCTGTCACTTCGGCCATCAGAACTTCCGACAACGGTGTGCAGATTAAGCTTGATATTTTACACACAGCGACACGGCGTTTTATTTAGCACTGGCGCTAGATCTAATCGAAACGTGGCGTTTTATTTAGCACTGGCGTTGTTAATTACAACGCGGCGTTGCAATGCACTTCCCAATTTTTATGGAAAGTGGCTATTCTCACCCGCCCGGAAGTTCTCGCAAGATCAACTCCTCCCCTCTTCTCTCTCTCTCTGTCTCTTTCTGAATACTGTCTATCGGTGTGGACGATCAAATTGACCAAAACAAAGTTAAAAAATGATGTTAAAACACAAAAGTAAATTAATTTGGTTGTCTACAAAGATGCTACGGCTATTTAACTTTTCGAATCGAGCCGAACTACGCGGGTCGCCATTTTGTTTTGCCCGGAAATTCTCGCGCTACTCCTCTCTCTCTTTCTCTCTCTCTCTCCACTGCCCACAGACAAAATTGGGTGCTTTTTCGGTAGTTCCCACCCCCCTTATTTGAGCCTGACCTACTTCTAGATCTATACGTTTGATTCGCGGTGAGCTAAGATATCAAACCTAACAACAGCAAAACATTAAATTGTGGTAAAACTTTCCCCCCTATTTTTGTTAGGTCAGGGGGGCAAGCCCCCCTGAAACCCCCCTACTCTTGGGGCCAAAACCCGTGAATAACAATTGCGGGGTGGGAACTACCGAAAAAGCGTCCAAAATTGTACGCTTTTAGTTTTCGAAGTGGTACGGCTAGACTGAGAGTCTAGCCGTACTTAAGTACGGCTAGACTGCCAGTCTAGCCGTACTTAGATCTAGGTTTGGCCCAATCGACTCAAGCCTGTTAAATACACAGGTCTCATTAGATCTAGATCTAGTGATTATTCAGGTTCAAATACATGCAAGTCAGTAAGGCACCTTTTGGTTTTGTCTGAAATACAAATACTTTTGGCATTGCAAACCAAAAATTTCATTTACAATTCAGCCATCAATATTAAGTACGGCTAGCCTGACAGTCTAGCCGTCCTTAAGTACGGCTAGCCTGGCTGTCTACCCGTACTTAAGTACGGCTAGACTGCCAGTCTAGCCGTACTTATCTTAGGCCCTATTAACATTAGAAAACAGGAGGTTTAAAATAAAATACACTGTCATTAAGGCACCTGGTTTCGTCTCAAATACAAATACTTTAGGTCCTGCACAATAAAAATGTATATTTACAATTCAGTAGGCCAATTTTTTGTAAATGGTCAGTCTAGCCATCATATTAAGAATAAGTACGGCTAGACTGCGAGTCTAGCCGTACTTAAGTACGGCTAGCCTCTTCCTTTAGTTTTAGTAGGCTACAGTTGTAATGAATGGAACGTTTGTTCACGGCACAGAATTCTACAATTTTTCTGTTATCATAGTGTAGAATTCTGGGCGCTTTTTCGGTAGTTCCCACCCCCCTTATTTGATAGAGCCTGACCTACATCTAGATCTATATATACGTTTGATTCGCGGCAAGCTAAGATGTCAAACCTAACAATTGCAAAACATTAAATTGTGGTAAAATTCAGGGGGGCAAGCCCCCCTGAAACCCCCCTACTCTTGGGGCCAAAACCGGCGAATGACAAATGCAGGGTGGGAACTACCGAAAAAGCGCCGAATTCTGTGGTTTAGGGTGAACGCAAAATTTGGTGAACGCGCACCGGGTGAGAATAGCCACAAGACTCGCCTGCACTGTTCTCACTCCGGGTGAGAATAGAGGTGGCCATTTTTATGGGCTCAAAGAGAGGAGTGAGTCATCTTGGAATGTTCAATCTTTGACACTGTTAACTAATAAATGAAATTAGATCTAGATCTAGATCTAGATGTCTAGACTAGATCTCGCATTGTTGTGGGAACGACGCCTTAGCCTAAGTTAGCCCGACACCTGATGCCTGATGAGTGCAAATTAGCCAGTCACAGCACGGCACTGTCACAGGGCACAGGCTTGGTTTATCGACCAACAACCGACACAAATTCTCAGCGTTGAGTTACTTTTAAAAAAGGCATTTGCCTCCTCCTTCAACTCTTCTGCTTTCTTTTTGTCTTCTTCAGTAACAGCTGATGGATCAACTGGAAGATCATCATTTGCATCATTTTCAGTCACTGACGAATTTTCGTTTCCCATTGTATCCGCCATGCTTGGTTTCCAATAAAGGGAAATTACTCCTAATATGAAGTTCTCAAAGAGGTTAATATAATAGAACTAGAGGTCGCAGGTGTGACGTCACCGACGTAAAATCACTATGGCTGTGCGGGCCCACTCAGCTCGTTTTGTCGCCATTTTTGAGAGGATTAGAAACATCACTGTCACGCTGCGCGTCCCTCGCAACGCCTAGGTCTTCTTAGAGGTTGAAGCTCAGTTCAGTTCTTATTTCAAGTTTTCGTTTTGTAGGCTGTTGTTGTTTAATCATATAACATACGCGCATACATCGCACTGCTGACCGATTGATTGCCGAAAACATATTTATGCAGTTATTAAATGAACAGAGAGATATATAATAATAAAATGAGGTATTGCTTGTTTTTCTCGAGTGGGGTGGGGGAGGGGTGGAAGGAGATAAAGTTAGTAGATTCTAGTTGAGTTTGTAAAGAAAAAGGACAATGTCAAACTTACAAAATGGACTGCTTTTATGTTACGCTGTCCACATCTCCTTCATTGTTCATTGTTTCAGCAAGAAGCAACATCCCTGCACTCCGGATATGTCCATTGATGCTCCATTGTTCTCTCCAAAATGTCGCCGAGGGTCTTTCCACTGATTGTGCATATCTAGTTGAACATTCTTCTGTTCTTTCCTGCAAGGATGTCAGATTTTCCGCTTCCTTTTTGTATTCCTAAAAGCATCATCCTCTTCGAACGGCTGTACTGGCCTCTGCCTTCCTATCTTCCTCCTCAATCAGCTGGCGAGAGAGACATTTCAGGATCTCGACCCTATTTACACTCTCCTATTGATGCAAAGCCTATGTTTTTATAGAGTATGAGGGGGATTAAGACTGTGTTATTTATTTAACATATTAATTCCTCATTGCCTCAAAATGAGCAATTAACCTGAAAGGCTGATGTTAGGGGACCGTACGCCCCAATAGCGCTTGGCGATAGGGGACCGTACGTCCTACCTGCGCTAAAGGTGACAATCCATATGTGCGGGACGGCAGCGGCAGCGGGACGATATGTGCGGTACCGCAAGTCACATTAAATCCATATGTCCGGCAGCGGAACGGCAGCGGGACGAAATGTGCGCCTCTTTCTATGAATCTTCTTCATAGAGCCTACACATCTCTGCATTTAATTCTTATTGACTTATCATCTTATTATTCTTATTATTCTTGTCATTCTTATTGACTTAATTATCATCCATATTCTCTATGTTCTTGCATTGATTCCATTAATTTAACTGCTTTATTATCTCTATGTAGAGGTATTTAATTGTTATTTCAATCAATTTAATTAAATAAATACATTTTACTAAGGTTACCAATTGTCGGGTAAATTCGCCACTGCCGACGGGTAACTTCGCCAGTATTATCTAGATCTTTTGTCACTAGCATAACGAACAGGTCCATCCATTCCTTTGCCATTCAGGACAGCCCAGAAGGCACCATTTGGGCATATCAAGAAAATGGGTGGATGAACGACGACATAGAGGTGCAATGGTTTCAGCAAGTTTTCCGTGCCAAATGAATTAACTAGATCACACAGAGATTCTTCACAGTCAACCCTATTCCGCCACATTCATAATTTTGTCTGCGGCAGAGCTGCGGCAGTGGCAGAATCGCTCCTGGGTGCGATTTTTATCGTCCCGCTGCCGTCCCGCACTTTTGGATTCAGACATTGATATTTCTGTTGGAGCGATTTTTATCGTCCCGCTGTCGTGCCGCTGCCGCTGCCGTCCCGCACATATGGATTGTCACATTTAGGCGTGGTGTTACGAGACCATACGCAGATATGCATGCATCTGGACTTTGCAAAAATACTGAAGGAAAACGGCCAGTTTAACGAAGCTCCTGACATAAGGAGTTATTACTAGTTTAAAATATCTGAATATGATTGTGAGGTATCCAGTGGCCGTGGGTGACCAAAATTTGAAATTTGCTCACGTCTGCACCCACGCTGTTATGTGTCAATAAAAGAAATCAAAGAGAGGGAGGGAGAGAAAGAGAGAGAGAGAGAGAGAGAGAGAGAGAGAGAGAGAGAGAGAGAGAGAGAGAGAGAGAGATGGGGGAGGGGGGGGGGTTCGTGAGAGAAAGAGAGAGCTGAATAAATTTACACAAAGGGAATGTTTTGGACAAAAATTAGTAGGATAATAGTGTGTGTGCTCAGGCGCATTCTGCGGGCAGACGTGAGTACATTTTTAAGCTTTGCGACCTAAAATAAATAGGCCCCTAAGCCCCATTTCATGACGCTCGTAAACGCCGGAAATTTACTCACTTTTGCATGAGAGAACACACCTGAGCACGCACTCAGTCTTGATAACGCGCAAGACGCAAGATTAACTCACATTCAATGACAATAACAATAACATGAAAAGAAAGGAAAAAGAAGACAGATTGGAAAAGGTAGATGAAAAGCAAAGCAAACAATTGTAGAGACTTGACAGAACGTCGGGTTGGGAACCAAGCACAGACGAATTAAAGTTTATTTGCAAGCGCATTACATATAATATACTGAACACCAAAAGAAACGCAAGTAACCAACATAAGAAACGAAAATGGATTTCTGGTGTAGAAAAGGTTATTTTTATTGAAATTGTTTACAGTAGTGTGATTTTTAAAGATGGTTTACGTTCGAAAATGTGATTTTCATTGAGCATGGACGAACATCTTCGACTGGTATTTTTTAACGACTCATTAACGTCACAGTAATCTTAAACACAGGGATGCACAACACGCATAGTCCATTTGGCACAGTTCAAGCGTTGTTGTGCTGGAACACCAAGTGGTGGTGTAGCTGGACATAGGGGAGGACCGCCGGCCTTAGTACCATGTTGATGCAACGTTGGGCGTTGATTCCATTGCCACGCTTGCGTCCGAGGTTTCGGAAGACGACAGGGTCGACCTGGAGATTTAGTCCAATGGCAGCCCAGATCTTGACACTCGAGCCACCCCAGACGTCGGCTTCCATCATGTTGAGGTCTGCGTTGCGTTCGCCGTTACTCCTCCAGATTCTGACTCTTGCTTTGCTGATGCAGAATCGACTCTCGTCAGAGAAAAGAATGCTTCTCCATTGCCTCCATGTCCACTGAAGCCGATGCTGGGCACAGGCTAACTTCTGTTGTCTGTGGCGGATAGTGAGGACTGGGCCAACCGCAGGACGACAGCACCGGAGTCCTCGGGTCTGAAGTCGTCGCCGCATGATCTGGCCGGATATCGATCGTCTGTGGCTTCCCATTGTCCCCCTTGCTGTTTCGACTGCAGGCAGGAAGCTGTCTCGGTGATGACAGCGCGTAATCAGTCGATCTTGGCGTGCGGATGGGACCCGTGGTCTTTCGCTTCTGGCCAAGTCTTGGGTGCTGCCA